CTCTGAAGGATACGATGGACTACTGAACAGCCCCGACTAGCATTCTGAGAAGTGGAGTACTTGGCGATAGCTTCGGCACGCCTCGTGACGTCCGGTTCTTGGGTAGCGCGATCAAGAGCCTTCCTAGCAGAGGCTGCTCGAAATAAGTGAGTCTCTATAACATCCGAATACCCGGCAAAACGGGTGAGCGACTTCATGAGCTAAAGAGGAGCAGCAGTACAACGGAGTTGCTGGATAGACGGGATCGGCTGACCCAGTTCCTTCTAGCTTACACTATTGTGCCGGCGTATACGATCCTCCACCTTCGCTTCCAGATCGTAGCAAGGTAGCAACTCCGTGTTAGCCTCAGCAATCGACTGCTGATTGGCCGAGTGCGGAACCGCTCCACCATCCCATGATATGAAACCGCTGTTGCTTGGCTCAGTCGACGACGTTGCCGGAGTAGATACGTTCTCGGAGAGATGCAGTGTGACGGTGGGTTTCATCTCGAACTCGGGATCGGCAGCCAGGTTCTGGTTATACTCCTCCTTGAGGATTTCAAAGGCAGCAGGAATCGATTCGGCATCCTCCCACGGTACCAGCATCTCCGACAGATACCGAGGGAGGGCTCGAGACTCTCGTAACAGCTTCGCGAAGTTCGCACTTGATGCTGAAGATGTGCCCAAGGATGAGCCGGTAACAGTTGGTGTCATCATACCTTCAAAAACCCGATTCAATTCTCGACGAATCCTGTCGATATTCGTGAAGACGTCAAGCGGGATATCGAGGCTATCCATTCGGAGGGACATGACTTCCACAGAGGTCACCCGCCGGGCAAATATGTCCACCGTGACGTCAACTCGATGATATCTAACCATACCAAGAAGCGTTCGGAGTGTTGCAGGGAGCGGTCGCTACCTCGTCCCCAGGAAGCAGAGGATTAAGGAAAGCGCATTAGTCGGGTTCAATAATGTCACTCCGTCCACCATACACTGTTTACCAACAGACTGCAATGATGCAAAAACAGCAAAAAACCTGACATAGCTCGAGTGATGTACAATCTGTGGCTCGAGATTCAAATGGCATACGTTTTGTGCTGGGATCCTTCCTCGTAGTCGGCAAGGCTCCCCAGAACATTCCGCCAATTGCATATGGCTGCGGTACCCCCATCGTCACACCCACCCTCGCCCACGGGATCTCCCACGGTCCTCCATCGCACTGCCGCCTTCCTCTCTATAGGCTGGACAGAAATCTAAACAGGATTGTCCAGATGCTGCCATGATGGTGCATGACTACTTCCCCTTCCGAGCTATGTAAGCACTCAGTTGACCGGGCCGACCCTTTTGACAGTTGGCGAGCACGCTAGTAAG